AACAAGCCTCAGGGAAACACATAGATTTATAGAAATGAGTTAATCTAAGTTAAAAAAAACTAACTAGAAACAAGTCTAGGCTAAGGCCAAGCATTCATAATTAATAATAAGTCTCCATGTCATGATTTGGAGGTTGGCAGTCTAAGAAAGCCTGCTACAGAGGGCTTTAATGCTGAATTTGGCTTTATCATATTGTAAGTCATCAAACATAAACTGACATTGTGATCAGCCATTTGATAATAGGCAAAATGATTCCCAGAAGCATTGATATTCTTAAAGCTAAAAACAGAGGTAGCAGAGAATGCAGGATTCTTACATCTCAGAAAATCAAGACTTTTTACCCAAATTCTTTTTTCATAGAGGTTTCAAGATTTTCTTCGGAAAGATGTAAAATTATCCACATCTGTGTGTGGTGATATGGTGTTTCCCAAAATATTGTGCACCCTAATAAATTTATCTGGGGTCAGAGAACAGAAAAGCCACTAGATATAGAGGTCAGAAAATGGTGGCACACATGCCTTTAATGCTAGCATTCCAGAGGCAGAGATCTGTCTGGATCTCTGTGAGTTCAAAGCCACACTGGAAACAGCTAGGCATGGTAATAAGAGCCTTTAATCTGAGGAAGTGATGGCAGGAAGCAGAAAGGTATTTAAGGTGTGAGGACGAGGAACTAGAGCCTGGTTAAGCTTTTAGGGTTTTGAGCAGCACAGTTCAGCTGAGAGGCATCCAGTCTGAGGAAACAGGATCAGCTGAGGAATTGGCAAGGTGAGGTAGCTGTGGCTTGTTCTGCTTCTCTGATCTTCCAGCATTTACCCCAATATCTGGCTCCAGGTTTGTTTTTATTAATAAGACTTGTTAAGATTCATGCTACATCTGTGAACTTGCAAAGTTAATAATTTATTGTTAATTACAGTGCTATTTAGTAAGTCTTGATACACAGTCATGGAGTTGGGAGAGAATTTAGAACAGGCCCCAGGAGTGACAGCCTAAGAAGAGCAGAGGGTGGTAGGGTTAGTTGGTACAAAAGGGCCCTGAGACCTTCCTTAGGGATCCATCAATATCTCAGTTTTCTTTGTTTCTTCTCTGACTCATTTTCTTTCCCAGCCAAGAGACAATTAATCTAGCCTCCAGAATAAAAGACCTGACCCCTCAGAGTCACCATACAACCTTTGGAGTATACTTTTTATATTCTGAGTTCTTCCCTATACTCTCTTGAGAGACAGGCCCCAAGATTTACTCCTGTCTCCATTGCATCATGCCTCCCCTCAGCTAATGAATTACTATGACTGAATTGGTAGGAAAGCAAAAAAATTAGAGTGAAGTGTTAAGTAGAAAACCTCAAATCATATTTCAAAATATCAGTCTCGCCAATTTATTTAGAGTTCCAAAGATAAAAATGGTTCAGGAATAAATATCGGCAAGTCATGAGCAAATAAATGATGTGCTGAAATAAAATGTGGTAAATACTTATTGTAAATGCTCTAAAATTAATGAAGTCACTTTATCTAATAGCTCATTTATTACAGGGAAATGAATGTGTCAAAGTTTCTCTTACTCTGTCAAATTATGTTTTCTAAGGACTATTTATATGTAGTTCACATGACACTACCTTGGGCACATTAGTGAGGAACACGAGTGGAGTTTTGGATGAGTACTTGGCAAGTTTTTAGAATTATTATCAAATTGTCTCAGACTGACTGCACACACTGTTCTTAGAGTGTTACATTAAATATATAAAAATAGAAAAATGAATGATAAAGGTATATTTTACATCTTGTATATTCCTTTTTGAGTATGCTCACACGTAAATAGTTTTCATGGTTTAAAATTTATTTTAAAATAATTCATGTCTAGATAAATTTGTAGAAAGAATTTATTTCTCTCATGGAGGTTATCGGAAACCAACAAAAGTAAAAAGTAATATTCAGGCCTGGTAAACTCTTGCTCCTCTGTGCTCTTCTCTTTAGCTATCACCAAGCTCTCAGGGTCATCACTTCCTGTCACACACTGAGCTATAAGCATCACTGTGAGGGGCGACTTTATTGGGATGCTGTTTCAGTGTTATCTACTCTCAGTATTCTACCCTGCTACCATCAAGAATCTGAAAACTGTGAGAATCTCTCCCTTTTCCTCCTCTCTTTTCCACCCTTTCTTCCATTATGTACAATGCAACCAGCAATTCATCTCCCTTAACAAGTAATTTACTTTTGATTGACACATAATCATACACACTTATAGGTACTAAGTGACATTTCAATAGATGAACGTAATATATAATGATCATACCAGGGTCATTGATTTATCAGTCGCTGCAAAAATACTTCTTCATGTTGAAAATACTCAAAAGCCTCTCTACTAGCTATTTTGAGCTATTTAACAAATGTTTGTCAAACCTAGTTTTCCTGGAGTATTTTTCCTATTCACCTATATCCCTGTATCCACTGTCATTCCTCTCAACCCTTTCTCACCTTCCCCAGGCCCTGATAACCACTACTTGATTCAATTCTTTAAAATCAATAGCTGAGTCTCCACATGGAAGTAAGCACATGCAATTTGGTCTCTCTGCCCTTAGTTCCCTGAGCATGCTAGTTTCATCCACGTTACTGTAGGTGAGGTCATTTAAATGGACTTAATAACTGAATAGTATCTGTACTACATTTCCCATATCTATTCACTTGTTGGTGGATACCTAAGTTGATACCATTTCTTGGCATGGTTAACAATGCTACAATAAATATTTATATGTGACCATCTTTTCCCTATACTGCTTTGACTTGCATTAGCTATCTACCCAGCAGTATATAAATCTTTCTAAATAGGGATTGGGACAATGGCACTTCCTTACTTAAGACAAGTTTTTGTTGCATCTCATTGCAACCCACTGGTAAAACATCAAGCCTTGTCTTTTTCACTCAAAGCAGAATTAGGTGTTCTTATATACTCTTCTTAGAGTCAAGAGTAATTCGACTTTCTTTCTGCATAGGAAAAAAAAAATTGTGTTGTGTTGTGTTTGTTTGTTTATTATTATGTTTCCATGCCTGGGTATAAGTGCTAATGATTTTTGTTAAATAATGGCAAATTGAACAAATGAGTAGGATTTTGTTAGTTAGTATTGGGGGCGGTGAGAAGCTGCACCCCTCCCTGATGTGGAACACTACTAGGGGAAGCAGGCTCTTTTCATCCTAATCATAATCCTCTAGGCAAAGCTGACCTCTGACAGGTTAGAAAAGAAATCACAGGTTAAAGTTGCAGAGTCATATCTTTAAAATGTAAATAGAAATTTCTAAAGAACAATTATAAAATAATATATCCTTTCTTGTTATCCCTGAAAAAGCATACAGTGGCCCAAGTGCTGAGCCCAATTATGTCTTCCTGAAGCTTACCCACCTGCTTGCATCGAGAATGCTTACTTACTATTGTAGTGGGTAGCTGTTCCAGCTTTGAACTGGAAGTACTATCCCCAGTGAGGCTTCCCGTAAATGTCATGCCTACCTATGGCCTGCCCCTGAGGCAGGGCCAAGATGGAAGCCCTTAAGACCCAAGATCCAGATGTGCTGGCTCTCTTGGTTCCTGGTGATCCTGGATGCTGGGTGGTAGACCAAGCAGAGTTCTCCAGAGAACACCACTGGACTGCACTTCACCTCTCCTGGATCCTGTAACCAATCCCTTTACTTGCTGCAAGTTACCCCAAAATAAACCTGCCTTTTAACTACATAGAGTTGCCTTAATTAATCCCCCAATATACTATGAACTTTAATTCCTTTAAATGGAGCTCTGACTGCTGAAGACCTCCAACTTAATAGGCTTTTGGGAACAGCTACTGTCTGGTCTTTCCCTGACCCGCTGCAGAGCAGTCCCTTGGCTCACCGGAGGCACACAAGAGATCTTGTCTACACTGAGCAAGGCAACTTGGGTACCTGTGATTATGTATCTTTCTATTGAAAATAAAATTTTCACTATCTAGACTGTCATTTCTTTTTAGAAAAAAAATAATGAAGTCCTGTTAAGCATCTTATGACTCCAAACCAATACTTTGACTGAGAGACATAAAAAACACACAAAAAAACCCCAAACAAACAAAAAAAACCCCAACTTTTTATTTTTCTCTCTTAGCAGCTAGAGTGAGTGGGATTATGTGCTTTTCTTCCTTTTCATCCAAATCTCTGAGATCTGAGGAAACATGTAAGGCTACATCAGAGCATAATTCTGAAATCATATAGAAAGAACAACATCACAGTTTTAAGTGTGTCTATGAGTAACTTCTTCATAGTCATCTCAGAATCTTAGCTCCTGAGGAGACAAGTTTTTCCCTTCAATATGTGGTATCATCTCCACTTCAGACAAAAACAGGGAAGACACCTGCCCAAGGTGGGATAAGCAACTGTAAACTCTTTAGTTACAGTTACCACATGGGGCCCTCAGGAAAGGACTCTCTACATACACAAGGCTTCACTGCTTAGAATGTCATTCATGTAAATACCACTGTCCAGAAATTAGCAGTCAAAGTTTTTACAAAAAATACATGACAATCTTTTTAATTTTTTAATTGTATTTTAGGTTTTAAGATTTTTTAATGTGTATTTTCATGAGTCTATGTGTACAGGCCCACAGAGGCCATAATAAGGCCTAGAAGCCCCTGGGGCTGGAGTTTGAGGAGGTTGCAAGTCATCCTATGTGGGTGCTGGGAGTTGAACTCAGGTCTTCTGGAAGAGCAGAAAAGCTCTTAATGGCTCAATGTTTTGTTTTTGTTTTTAAATACATATATTTTAAATACCTCTGGTATTTAAATGCCTATGGTACTTAAAATATTTAAATACCTATGCTATTAAATACCTATGGTATTTAAAATACTGATCATCCAGGAAAGGAAGAAAACAAACCTACAAACCAACAGGAAATAATCAAGAACGGGAGCCCAGGTGAAGATACTTCAGTTAAATCTCAGGCACAGGGGTCAAGAGAAAGAAGCTCATTTGCAGGAGAAGAGACAAAAGACAAACCTGGAGCAGGGAGAGATTCCCAGGGAGAAAGACTAAACAGCAGGAGGTTCCAGAGCACACGGGATACCACCGCCATGCTCTCCTCAGTTGGTCCCCTCTGCATTCTGCCATCAGATTTTGGTTTCAATTCCAGCTGCCTCTTTTAAGCCATTTTCATCCTGAATGGAACCGTTTCTCTGTGTAGCTTCAGATGGTGCTTCTGTCCTTGAAGCATTTCCTGAGGTCTGATTTCAACTGTTCCGATCCCAGGTGCCCTTAATGCCAACCATTAATCAAACTTGTACATCCTTGTCTCCCATAGAGAGCTAGACAGTTTGTTTACGCTTGTCTGGAAGGACTCGCTGTAATGATAAGGCTGAGCTTTGATTGCCTCCCAAATGTGTAATCATGCCTTCCACAGTCCACAGCGCAGAACAGCAAGTCTAAATTAAAAAGAACCGCACAATACTTTAACACATTCCTAATCTGTAGTTTTAGAGATTCATATAAAAGCCCGAGAGAATTAGCTAATCTTAAGAGATTGAATGACTTGTCCTAGAAATCTGGCATATTTGCAACACTTTGCTGTTAATTTTCCACTTAATTGGCTTTAGAGTTGCTAGCCCATCTATTTATAGTTAATGGCTTGCTCTGTGTGTATCCATAGCTGTCTTCTCTTTGTATAAAAGTGGGCTTTCTTACCTTTCCATGGGTAGCTAGCTGTGAGAGACACATGTAGGCAATAGCCACTTTATCACTCCTCCTGACCAAGGTACCCAGTAACCCACCTGGGAAAGGAACACGTTTTTGGTTTTGGTTTGTTTGTTTATTTTTTGATTATGATACGCCTCCTGGCAAGTTGGTTTATTTAATCCTGCTTTGAATATCTTGATTATGGTCCTCAGTAGATCAAAGTATTTTTAGAACAGAAGCCGTCCTTGATCCATTTTGTTCTCCCATAGTATACCTGGAACAACACACAGATTTACAGCCACTTGGTGAGTAATTAAAGCTTGTGGAGTGAAACCAGATTTTTTTCCTAAGTACAGAAGAAGCAGTAAATTAATGAGACTGAGCCCTCTGAACCTTTCCATCCTAAGTTCTTGCTTTAGTATTTAGCCCAGAGTCATTTTTCACAGATACAGCAATTCACGTTGAGAGGAAATTAATAATGTTGAGAGAGCTAGGCAAAAATTTCTTTTAGAAAGGAGAATATGCAATTGATTTTTCTCCACATGCTGAAAATACAAGTCTTCACCAAAATGCTTTGGGGCTTTAACTGCAGCAGGGTTCCCAAGAGGCACAAAAGGTAATGAAACTTTCCTGCTCCAAAGCGGGTAGAAAGGTGGCCTTGTGCCTTGCCTCTCCCTCTGCACAGTGTGTGTTTGTGACTATATTGAATTTACTAGCCTTCAAACTATTTATAAATTGTTTGTTTTATTACAGGTAGAAAAAAAGGGCCAAACAGAATAATCGATGCACTCAAAAGGTTGACGAGGTTCTTGACTCCAAATGATTCAGGGGATTTGTGATAAATGTTTCTTGCTTATCAACACATAAAAACTAACATACAATCTCCCAGTGAACATTCTTCTTCCTTGAAAAGACCTTTCAATCAAGAAGTAGTAGCCAGTGTGCTGTGGGATGTTCTGTATGGCAAATGTGTTGCTAATTAGTCAATAAATAAAACACTGATTGGCCATTGGCTAGGCAGGAAGTGTAGGCGGGACAAGGAGAATAAAGCTGGGAAGTGGAAGGCTGAGTCAGAGAGACACTGCCAGCCGCCACGATGAGAAACAGCATGTGAAGATGCCGGTAAGCCACGAGCCATGTGGCAAGGTATAGATTTATGGAAATGGATTAATTTAAGCTGTAAGAACAGTTAGCAAGAAGCCTGCCATGGCCATACAGTTTGAAACCAATATAAGTCTCTGTGTTTACTTGGTCGGGTTTGAGAGGCTGTGGGACTGGCAGGTGAGAGAGATTTGTTCTGACTGTGGGCCAGGCAGGAAAACTCCAGCAACAAATGGCGTCCAACGTGGTGGCAAGAGTTACCACCTAAAAACTGAGAAAAAAGATTCTAAAACGGAGCTAAAAACAGTTCCTAATTGTCTCTCTCAAATGAGTGGCAGCTGCTGGTTTGAGCTACTGGTGGGTTCCTTGCATGCGAGCTCAACCTGCCATATGGCGGGAGTGGGGCCTTTGCAAGTGGCACTTTGAGCTGCATGGTGGATTTAGCCTTTGCTGGTGCAGAGCAAAAGGGGAGGTTTCTGGGCTACACACTGCTTGGCTAAAAGCATAGACCCCCGATAGCTCCCAGAGCTGGCGGTAAACCATGGCCATGTTGGGAAGCTGAGGTGGGTGGATCCAGCAGCCACAGCTGCTGCAGTTTAAGGCAATAGATTCACAATAAGACAGATTCAGATGTAATAGTTTACAATGTGTGTAAAATATACGTAGGCTTGAAAGAGACAAAAAAGATGATATATAGAGTTATAGAAACAAATACATAGTTTTAAAAAATAAAGTCTTTAAAGAGACAGTAAAGGTAGTATAAAAAAATAAGCCACGTAAAAATGGATATTACACAGAGAATCTGCATTGTGTTGTCTTTGGGACTTTTAACTGCAGAAAAATATTTGATTGTAAAAGCTGTTGAGTTATGCCAAAATGTATATTTTAAAGGTACCTTGACTTCAAAATTTGGATATAAGGATATGTTACTTTGGAAAGGAGACTCTGCTTTTGTTTCCACAGAAAGCCAGAGGCTATGGATTTGTTCAAGATTAAGACACATCAGGTTTGACCAGCCAAGACCCCCTGAAAGGTCTCCTATGACACCATGGCCCAGATGATCCAACATCCAGAATGGTTTCAAGGCAACTGGCTCAGACGATGCAACCTCATGGACTATTCCATAATCCTAAAATTTTCTTTGTTTCCCCATAAGATACAGCGCCCCCCTCCAGCAGGAAGTAGTAAGAGAAGCTACGCCCAAATTCCCAAATTATATGTAATTTTACTTTAAGGTTAAAACCTTCCTTTTTGAAAAAAAAAAAAAAAAAAAAGGGAAGTGCTGTGGGATGTTCTGTATGGCAAATGTGTTGCTAATTAGTCAATAAATAAAACACTGATTGGCCATTGGCTAGGCAGGAAGTGTAGGCGGGACAAGGAGAATAAAGCTGGGAAGTGGAAGGCTGAGTCAGAGAGACACTGCCAGCCGCCACGATGAGAAACAGCATGTGAAGATGCCGGTAAGCCACGAGCCATGTGGCAAGGTATAGATTTATGGAAATGGATTAATTTAAGCTGTAAGAACAGTTAGCAAGAAGCCTGCCATGGCCATACAGTTTGAAACCAATATAAGTCTCTGTGTTTACTTGGTCGGGTTTGAGAGGCTGTGGGACTGGCAGGTGAGAGAGATTTGTTCTGACTGTGGGCCAGGCAGGAAAACTCCAGCAACACCAGTGTCTTCTGCTGGGTTTCAGAATCACTGAATCATTCCTAGGCACATCAACATTCCACTCCAGGAAATGGAATTCCAAAATGGCAAGAGTGGCCTCTTGGAGGAGATCAGAGAGCAAATCACCACCCAGTTTACCGTTCAGTTGCTTTATAATTTATAAAAAGTATATATATTTATTCAGTAATGAGTAGATGAGAAATGTGTCAAAATTAGATATAAGTGAATATGATTTTTGGGGATTACCTACTGAGTAATTTTGTTTCTACTTATAAGTCATGTTGTTTCTGCCTATTCTCTATAGAAAAAAGCATCTGTAGCTACTGAGGGAACACATATTTACAATATCTTGTTTTAATCTTAATCACCATCTATTACTATTCTAATGTTGATATGGCATATTTTTAGAGATTTCTCTCTCTTGTAAAGGGTGTTTGCTGGAAGATGGTACAGATAGGAAAACAACAGTGAGTTTCAAGTACAGACTAAATTGCCTAAGATTCAAGTTTACAGTGTGTATAGTGAATTAAAGCTTCTAGGATTCTTCTAGAACCTTTTTAGATATATGTTAAATGGCTTTTTCACTTTTCATGTATTCTTTTTACACTGTGTATGAGTGCCGAGCAGAGATGCTCAAAATTCCCTTCCGGTTAAGTCCCTGGGGATGTGACAGGCATGACTTCCAATGAAGAAGGTATTCGTGAAGATGGTGCTGCTTTTCAGCTAATGGGACTAAAGAAAATCGATTCTGGTTCCATGACACTGGGTAATCTACCATTGCTACATCCAAAAATATTGAGACAGAGACCATATAAATATACACAAGGTAGCAAAACATTCACAGCTTCAAGCCAGCTGAAGATGTGGCTCCAGGTTAAACACTTTCTGCATAAGCCCAAGATTCCCCCAAACAAAAGCTGGATGCAGCAGATGAAGTATCTGTAATCCTAGCACCCACTACCAGGAGATGAGAAGCTGAAACAGGAGCATCTATAGATGCTGCGTCCTCTTTCCTCTGATTTGCTTTTGAGATGTACACAGCACAGTAGAGGATGGAGGGATTCAATACAGTCCCTGATTCCTTCATGAGGAAAGTCTTACTGTGACCAATGCATCGACCTAAGCACAGAGTTAGGAAGATACTTGATTGGCATTCTGGTACCATCTCCTGTGTGATGTGACAGACAGATCACAGTGTGCAAACCTCACAGTTGATGTTATCCCTGAGTTAGTGAGGCAAAACAAAGTTAGATTCTGGAGTTTCTTCTTAGATCAGGTCTCTAGACCCTCATAGCCAGAGTCTAATCTCTTACAAAAACAACAGATGAATATATTATTTCAAAAACCATGACATTGATTGATTTTTGTTGTTTTTGTGCAAGATTATCTTGGTTAATACAGACTGTTAAGAATAGCAAGACTCTAACCTGCAAAGACAATAAATAGTATGGTCTGGTGATCTATAAACTAAAGTTTTTAAGAATTTCAAAAAGTGGAAACAGAGGCGAGCATAAAGAGAGAACTTTAAATCATAAATCAGTGAAAGGTAAAACTGTTGTGGAATATTATTTTGAGATGTATTACATTTGTTTATGCTGTGGAACATTTGTTTAATGATGCAAAACTATGTTGCATTCTTTTATGTTCATTTGTTTAATGCTGTGAAGCTGCATTACTTTGCCTGTCTAAAGCACCAGATTGGTCTAATAAAGAGCTGAATGCCAATAGCTAGGCAGGAGAAATGATAGGCAGGGCTGACAGGCAGAGAGAATAAATAGGAAGAGAAATCTGGGAAGAAAGATTGAAGGAACAAGAAAAGGAGGAGAGGAGGACATCAAGGGCCACTCAGCTACACAACCAGCAATGTGGAAAGAAAGAAGGAAAGAAAGAAAGAAAGAAAGAAAGAAAGAAAGAAAGAAAGAAAGAAAGAAAGAAAGAAGGAAAGGAAGAAAGAAAGGAAGGAAGAAAAA